TTTGAGTCCCAGACCTGGCGGCTTAAAACTCACACTGGGTGCATGTGTGTACATGCTCAAAATCTCAAGAGGAGAATGGAGGAGAAGGAACTGTGGCATGGCTACAGTGATTTCTTGCTTTCTGTCTGTCTCTGTCTCTCCAGTGAGTGCACACACCTTATAGCAAAACAAAAAAATCTCTTCACAAAATAAAAAAAGAAACCTGAAATCAAATCAAGTATCTCTTTCAATCACAGCAGTATCAAATCAAAAACAGAAGGAAATTTGGGGAATTCATAATATATGAAAATTAAACAACACACTCTTGTACAACCAATGGGTCAAAGAAGAAATCAAAAGAAAAAACGTTGTTTAAGTCTTGAGACAAATGAAAATGGAAACACAGTGTACCGAAACTAATAGAATGCAGCAAAGCCAATTATACAATGAATGGGAAGTTTGCAACAACCAACACTTACATGAAAAAAAAGATCTTGGGACCAGCAGTTAGTGTAATGGCTATGTCGCTGGACTCCCATGTAGTCGACCACGGTTCAAGTCCCGGAGCCAGTGGGTTAAACTCACTCCGGGTGCGTGTGCGTGCATGCCCAAGATCCCGAGAAGAGAATGGAGGAGAATGGATTGTGGTGTGGCCATGCCCCCTGGGGGGGGGGGATTTCTCACTTTCTGTCTCTCTGTCTCTCTCCGTCTGTCTGGCGAGCACACATGCCTTATAGCAAAAACCTCTCCAAAAAAAAAAGGAAAAAAAAAAAGATCTTGGGCCAGCAGGTGGCATGGTAGCTGGGATGCTAGATTCCCATATGGCTCACCACAGTTTGAGTCCTGGACTCTGCAGCTTAAAAATTTATGTATTTGTGTCCGGAATCCCTGGAGGAGAAAGGATTGCTTAGTGGCCATTCCCCCAGAGGGTGATTTCTCACTTTCCATCTCTCTGTCTCTTCATGCTCCCTATGGCAAAAAATTTTTAAAAATAATAAAACAAACAACAACAACAAAAAACACAATAAGTAAAGAAAGAAAGATCTCAAACAATGAACTTTATATCTTGAGGAACTAGAAAAAGAACAGATTAGACATCATACTTGTTAGAATGGCTATTGCCAAGACATGAGAAAACAGGCGTTGCACAGATGTGGAGGGTAATGAGCCCTTGTACGCTGTTGTGGGGATGGATCAATAAACTGTATAACTATTATGGAAAACAGTAGGAAGGTTACTCAAAAAATTAAAAATAGGACTACCATGGACCAGCAGGTGGTATGGTGGCTAAGGTGCTGGACTCCCACATGGCCAACTGTGGTTCGAGTCCCAGATCTGATGGCTTGCTTTCTCATTTTGTCTCTCTCTCTCTCTCTCTCTCTTTTTCTCTCTTTCTTTCTCTCTTGTGAGTGCATGTGCCCTGTAGCAAATTAAAAACACAATAATAATTATAAATAAAATGAAATAAATCATTCTTTAAAGAAAAATCAGGACTACCACAAGATCCAGCAATCCCATTTCTTGGTATCTACATGAAGGAAATGAATCAGCGTGGAAATACCTGTACCCCTGGGTTTAGTGCAATATTACACACAATAGCCAAGAGTTGGCCCATGCATCTATTCATAGATGAACAGGGGGGAAATGTGTCTCTCACACACGCACAGTGGAATGAGATTCAGCCTTGAGAAAGAAGAAAGGGCTACCGTGTGGCACTATGGATGAGCCTAGAGAGTACTGTGCTAAGTGACAAACACTGCATGTCTCGCTCACCATGAGATCTAGGAAGTGGAACAGGGAGAAGCAGAGTAGAGGGGTGGTTGTTGGGAGTGGAGGGAAGAAGGAGGTGGGAGTCCACGGAGAAAGGTTAGTAAAGGATATGAGGTTCCTGTTAGGCAGCATGAGTGCCTTCTGGAGGTCTGCTGTAAAGAACTGACTCCAAGGGACCAGCAGTTAGCGTTATGGCTATGTCGCTGGACTCCCATGTAGTCAACCGCAGTTCGAGTCCCAGATCTGGTGGCTTAAACTCACGCCGGGTGCATGTGTGTGCGTGCCCAAGATCCCAAGAGGAGAATGAAGGAGAAGGGATTGCGGTGTGGCCATCGCCCTTGGGGGATTATTTCTCGCTTTCTGTCTCTCTATTTTTCTGACAAGCACACAAAAAACTCTCCAAAAGAAAAAAACAAAAATCAAAAAACTGGACTCCAGTTAAGGTACTGTGCTGTCCTACTGGACCGTTCACGTTCGTTTGACAAATGTTAAGAGAGATCTTAGCTTTCTCACCACAGGCTGTAAACTAAAGCAGGCCCGATTCTGCCCTTGTTACTGTCCTAATTCAACTGCGGGACAGTAGACACAGCTCCCTTCAAGGTGGCCTGGCTCACTCTGCAGTTGTGGCTAGCCAGACAGTCTGTTGGTGTTTATCCCACTCCTGGCGTATGAATCATGAGGAAAGGAGAAATTCTCTTCTAGCTTCCATTGAAGAAGTCACCTGAATAGGGAAAGTGGGGGCAGCTTTCTGGTTTGCTGCTGCAACACAGCGGTCGCACTGTGGCTATGGCGAACCCTGAGTATTCACTGTGCATGTTTTTTGTTTGTTTGTTTGTTTGTTTTAATTTGCCAGAAGGCACATGCATGCACCAGAAAGAGAGAGGAGGATGAGAAAGCTCCCCCAGCCCCCCCCCCCCCCCCCACACGCGGCGGCACCGCCCACCACCCCTACCCCCCCCCCCCCCCCCCACCGTGGGACACGGTCATGCCACAATCCCTTCTCCAACTCTCCCACCTTTCAGGATTTGGGGCACATGTAGATGTGCCCAGCGTGTTTCCCCAGCCACCAGGTCCAGGACTCACATTGTGCATTCGGCCACGTGGGATCCAGCTGCCTTAACCACCATGCCACTGGCTGGCCTCTCTGTGCACTGTTCTAAGAACTTTATTATTCAAATCTCACATCAGCCAAAGAAATAAGCACTACTATTTTTCCATCTTTAAATGAGGGATTTGAGGGTTGAAGAGGTTAAGCAACCCCTCACAGGTGCCCAGTCGTTCAATGACAAGGATGAGAATTGAACCAGGCAGCTTCTCCCCGGAGCCCAGGATCTTCACAATCGCACACTGGGCGGCGTGATAAACACCGTACTTGAAACAAACCAAGACTCTCCTCCTACTGAGCGCCTGCGCTGCACTTGGGTATGGATTTCTCTTGTAACGAGGGGCAAAAAAGTAAAGGACAATAGAGAAATGGCTTTTCCCCCAGTGAAATGCGGTATGAGAAATTTCTATACTGCTGGTTGGTAGAAAGCAGTAGAAATGTCGAATAAGAACAAGGTTCTGTTTTTGGTTGGACGTGACAGTTTCCTCTCATTATTCAGTCTTGGGAAAGAGAAGAACTCATGTCCAGATTGTATGGCTTGCTGAAAACAGATTTCTTAGATAACCTCTGTTAAAATTAAACAAAACCAGGGAACCAGCAGTTAGCGTAATGGTTATGTCGCTGGACTCCCGTCTAGTTGACTGTGGTTTGAGTCCCAGATCTGGTGGCTTAAACTCACGCTGGGCGTGTGTGCGTGTGTGCCCAAGATCCCGAGAGGAGAATGGAGGAGAAGGGATTGCGGCATGGCCATCCCCCTGGGAGGTGATTTCTCGCTTTCTATCTCTCTGTCTCTCTCTGTCTGGCAAGCACACGTGCCCTATAGCAAAAACCTCTAAAAAAAAAATAAGAAAGAAAGAAAGAAAAGAAAGGACCTCCCAGGGGAATGGCCATGCTGCAATCCTTTCTCCATTCTCCTCTTGGGATTTTGGGTACACACACATCCGATGTGTTTTTCAAGCCACTCAAACCAGAGTTGGCCATGTGGGATTCAGCACTGTGTTTTTTTTTTTTTTTTTTTTTTTAGAGAGAGATTTTTGCTGTAGAGTGCATGTACTTGCCAGATAGAGAGACAGAAAGCAAGAAATCACCCCCTGGAGGGATGGCCATGCTGCAATCCCTTTTTCTCCATTCTCCTCTTGGGATTTTGGGCACACACACATACACACACACACACACACACCGGCATAAGTTGTTTTCTTTCTTTCTTTTTTTTTTTTAATTATAAGCTGCATGTACTTGCCAGAAAGACAAGAGAGAGATAGAGAGACAGAAAGCGAGAAATCACCTCCCAGGGGGATGGCCATGCCGCAATCCCTTCTCCTCTCAGGATCTTGGGCAGGCATGCAATCATAGTTACCCAGCATGAGTTTAAGCCACCAGGTCCAGGACTCGAACCATGGTCAACTACATGAGAGTCCAGCAACATAGCCATTAGGCTATCTGCTGGCCCCACCTGGGGTAAGTTTTAAGTCACCGGTCTGGGACTCGAACCATGGTCACCTACATGGGAGTCCAGTGATGTAACCATCATGCCACCTGCTGGTCCCAGGATCCAGTACCTTAGCCATTGCACAACCTGAAAAGAAGTTTTTAAACTCCAAAGCTCAGGTGCCACCCAAGGAAGTCTTGATGGTCTAGGTGGGGGCCCAGGCAATGGGACTTTTCTGGAGCTCTCCGGGTTAATCATGTGCACCCAGGGCTGAGCATCGCCACAGCTCAGTCATGCCAATGGCTTCCCTCCCGCCCATTCGCTCCATCACGGACCAGCCTCATCGGCTAGCGAAGTGATTTCACATCCCCAGCTGAGTGTCCGTACCATCAAAAAGGAAAAGAGAGTTCCGACAGAGGATTAACTGAGGTAACACACAAAGCACCTGGAACAGGGCCTGGGCCATCGCATTGAAGGTGATGGTGACAATAATGCTGATATCTTTTCTACCTAAGGTTGTGAATACACCTTGCTTCTCCATCCAGACAGCAAGGGCCGTCATGCCAGCCAACACACGATAACCTCTACCATGGCTCCCTTACCTGGAACAAACTTCTAGAACCAAATGTACTTCTAGCTCATTTCAAGGTAGTTTTTAGGTGCCCTCGAGGTGATGTGGAAGTTCATAACTGCAGTTAACCGCATCAGGAAACTCACTCACCTGGGATTGAAGTGGATTTCCTCAGGCACTTCTCTGGGGTCTGTGACCACTCTCTGGTTGTCGCTATAATTAAGGGGGTCATCCGGGATCCTAAATTTGGCCATCTGAATTTCAGAATCACTTAGTTCAGCATGGGAGATTCTTGCATAACCCAACCTGTAGCAGAAATAGAAATGGTCAGAAAGATTTTATTATAATGCAGAAATCTGCTGAGATTTAATAGACTTTATTAAGTCAGTTTTCTATTTCTAACTCTGCCTGTATATTACAACTAGAACTAACCTGATTTATAAATCGAATATAAATAAAACATTGTTTTTATGATCTAAACGAATAAGGGATATGCACACAGGTTTAATGAACTAACTATACTTAGCAGCCTTACTTTAATTTTTTACACTAATGGATATTTTCTGTCTATACAAACTGCCTCCCACACAATTCTGCTTTAAGTTAATAAGAGAAATTCTTCAGAATGACAGAAGTGCGTGCCTAAATTCTTTCTTACCTTTAAAAATCCAAATTTCACACGCACATTTTCAGCCACATTTCCAAATCTAAAATCAAAGATTTTGTATGTCTAAAAAAAAAAATGTTAAATTCCACACCCTGTTTTGGCTTAGAACTTTCAGTTTTTCAGAAAACCCAAAGCACTTTACAGACATTTATCCAAAGAGTTCTTACTGAGGAGCTCAGAAGGAAAAATGAAGGAACCATGTGTAGAGAAAAAAAAGAAAAAAGGGACCAGCAGTTAGTGTAATGGCTATGTCGCTGAACTCCCATGTAGCTAACCACAGTTCGAGTCCTGGACCTGGTGGCTTAAACTCACGCCAGGCGCATGTGCGTGCGTGCCCAAGATCCCGAGAGGAGTATGGAGGAGAAGGGATTGCAGCGTGGCTATCCCCCCCCGGGGGGGCGGGGGTTTTTCGCTTTCTATGTCTCTGT